CATTTGTAAGCACAATGTCTTTCCCAGAAGGCTGGTTTGTTTATTTTGTTTTTGGTTTTTGGAGGCGGGGTTTCTCTGTGTAACAGCTCCGGCTGTCCTGGAACTTACTTTGTAGACCAGGCTGATCTTGAACTCACAGAGATCCGCCTGAGTGCTGGGATAAAGGCAGGTGCTGCTACCACCTGGTAGAGGCTGTTTGTCAACCTAGTCCCAAATGTAAACATTGGTGATCCTCTGAATAGATAAAGGAAAGCTTATTTCTTCATTTATACCAGGCTGGTTTCAGTGTTCAGATTAAAATTCCAAATTTTGGTGTTTTTTGTTTGGTTTTTTTTTTTTTTTCCTACCAAATTCCAAAATGATACCATTGGTCTAACTTAGCCTTGCAGTGTGTAACCACAAGTGAAGAAGTAGTAGCAAGTTCTAAGCCCATCCATTCCTCTACCACCACAGGCCACCGTGCCTAGCAAAGCAGCGTGGCATTATATGTTGGGGGCTGGGGAGGGGGCGGTGCCCATCCGTGAGACTGTGTTGATTGACGGCGGTGTTGTGGTCTGGGAAATGGCTCTTGTTCTGTTGGGGACCGGCTGGGAGTCCCCTGTGCCTTCTGCTGGTGCCTTGAGTTTGTTGTCATCTCTCCTGTCATCATCCAGGGAGACGTTCCCAGGGTGTTTGGGAAGCTTTGGACACTGTCCAGGAAATACTACAAGACTCACTTAAGGACTGTTATTCCCTAAATCTGTTCATGTCGAAGTTTTCTTTCTGTTCGTCGCAATGGAGAGGAGCAAGGCAGAAACTGCCAGGAAACGTAACTGTGACGACAAGCCAGGGTGCTGCATTCTCCTCCCCACCCCACTCTCCCACAGTCCCCTGTGTAGACGTCTGTACCCGGTCAGCCGGGCGGTGGTGGCGCACACCTTTACTCCCAGTACTCGGGAGGCAAAGGCCGGTGGATCTCTGTTAGTTCAAAGCCAGCCTGGTCTACATAGTGAGTTCCAGGACAGGCTCCAAAGCTACAGAGAAACCCTGTCTCGAAAAGCAAAACAAAAACAAACAAACAAACGAAAAGATTCAGTTGTAATTGCTACGCTTGACGATGCATGCCTGAGATCACAGCAGTTGGGAGGTTCGAGCAATAGGAAGCCCCGAGTTTGAGAGCAGTCTGGGCTATCGTGTGAGACCCTGGCTCAGGCAAACAAACATATGAATAGTCAGTAGGTACGTGTGGTTCTTTTCGTGTGAAGTTTCCTCCCTTGTTTGCCACAGAGCAGGTATTTAGTGTCCAGCACGTACTGCGCTGCTTGGGGAAGGTTTAATAACTCCAGCAGCTCCCTTCAGGCAGCAGTGCTCCTTGTAACCAAACGGCAGCACCAGAAGCGGGTCGGTAGAGTGTGTGGCACCAGGCAGGGGTGTGGGCGGGATCCCTGACGTCCTCCTCGGCTCCCTGTGCTTACAGGGATCTCTTCAATGCCGCCTTTGTGTCCTGCTGGTCTGAACTGAATGAAGACCAACAAGACGAGCTCATCAGAAGCATTGAGTTGGCCCTCACGTCTCAAGACATCGCCGAAGTCACACAGACCCTCTTGAACTTGGCTGAGTTCATGGAACACAGTGACAAGGTGAGACACCCTCCCACACCCCCACACCCCGGTCCCAGCGGACAGTGATAGGAACCCAGCTGGCTGGAGGGGCGGCTTGCACACAGTCCAGGCTTGTGTGTGCCCCATCTACCACACTCCTGTGCTTTCCTGTAGGGCCCCCTGCCTCTGAGAGATGACAATGGCATCGTGCTGTTGGGTGAGAGAGCTTACCATACTCCTGTGCTTTCCTGTAGGGCCCCCTGCCTCTGAGAGATGACAATGGCATCGTGCTGTTGGGCGAGAGAGCTGCCAAGTGCCGAGCATATGCAAAAGCACTACACTACAAAGAACTGGAGTTCCAGAAAGGGCCCACACCTGCCATACTTGAGTCCCTCATCAGGTAGGCCCCGAACGCCTGTCCTACTGCCCGGGAGCCAGTTGTAGAATTCAGCTGCGTGAAGTCTGCCATCAGGTCCGGTTGGCACATGTGAATATGTGGTTACAGATGGCTGTCAGTAGTCAAGCCATGTAGTCACACCTGCCAACCCTCACCACCTGTACGCCGTTGTTTTCCAGCCCCTGCTTTCTTGTCCTAGTGCAATCTACAGGACTCTCGGGAAGACAGATGTGCCAAGCAGGGTTAGGGTGCCCCGAGGCAGGGTCAGGTTTTAGAGACACAGTCTTTAGTGCCACTCTCCCTCCTTTGGAGCTCCGTGAATGTGAAGAGTGAAGTCTGAGATGCAGTGATCTTTCCCCAATCCGTTTTGTTCTCCCCTCTCCTAGGATGGTTTGGAGTCTTCTGAGTAGGAAAAGGGGGTTGTTCAATAAATTCGGTGCTGTTAGAAATTACAAGCAGCCAGAAACGTTAGCCTCAGCTCCTAGAGGCCCGCTCACTTCCCCCAGTGATTTTAGAAATGTTAACTCTGGGATCTGCTATCTCCGTAGAGATGCTAACGTGGTTCTTCATTTAACTGCGGACAAGATAGCTCAGGACAAATCAACAGCGTAGGCCGACAGACTCCGCTGAGTAGAGCCTCAGCAGCTGAGCTCTGTGCAGGTGGCGAAAGACGTAACGTAGAAGGTGGGAATGGAATCCTACTGTGCCAGATCCACTGACACAGAGAATGTCAATTTCTGAAGTACCTGTGGGGACAGTTACAGATGTGCCACCCCACAAGGACTGCTTCGGCACGGGAAACACAAAGACCTGCATTTCTCCGCCCAGCTCTCACTTGTACAACCTCATGTGACAGCTTACAGAAACAGGGCAACTAACTGGGCACATTAACTTTAACTTCAGAGAGCTGGTTTAACCCATCGTGTCCTTGCTGACTTTTCTGAGACCTATTTGAAACTCTTCATGCTGCCCTTGGCTTTTCCTCATATTTGAGACAATCATAGAAACGTTGAAGTTAATGCAGTTTTTAGCAGAAAGGTGCCGTATGGCTAGGAAAGTACTCCTTGGTGTTTTAAGCCTACGTAACTGAACATGATTGTAGTTCCCTGCAAATAGATTTGATTTGACGCCTTTTGTTCTGTTTGTTGTAAATTCGGACCTAAGAGAAAGCATGCATTCTAAGCTGGGCCTGCTCAGCTGACAGAGCTTAGGTGGCTTCTGCCTCCGAGTGGCCTCTGGAGCCTCCTTGTTCCTTTCTGTGCAGCTCCTTACATCCACAGCTTTCTCTTCAGACGAAAACCTCCTTAAGCACCACTGTGCTGAGTGTGATGCTGTCTGTACCAGGGAAAGTTGTTTTGTTGTGTCTGGGGGTGTCGGGTCTGTTTGTTTATTTGGTTTGCAGAGTGAACGTAGACTCCCCCTTCCTCAGACTCCTGAGTTCTGTTATAAAAATCCACCTGAAGAGAAAGCTGCTATTGGGAAGCTGCCCCAGAGTATCCCCCAGAGTTGTAGGAGAGACACCTAATGGCCCCTCCTGGGGTCCTGGCACTTTGAGTTACATGCCCCCTTTGTGGGTTTCAAGTCACTGACTGAATTCCTTTCTTCACCGTGGCGTCTAAGTTCCTGCCCCTCTCCTCTGTTCAGGCACATCGTAGGTGTCATGTCTGTTTTGACAGTTATCACCCTTCCCTCCACGCAATGACTAATTTCTCCCCCCCATTCATATTCCACTTACCAATTTATCTACTCTCAGGGCCTGTGGTAATACATACACTTAACATTAACAAGCTATTATTTTTGGTTTTCGTTTTTAAAAAACTAATATTTCCCTTTTGAGCCAGATGTGGTGCACACCTGTAATCCCAGCACTCGAGAGGTAGATTTGGGAGGATTTTCTGCTCTGGTTCTGTCTGTCTGTCTCCTTTCTTTTGGATTTCTTACCTGTCTATTCCAGAACAAATTAAATCCCACATGTAATCTCTAAGCTGGGTCAACACTAAGACAATATAAACTGTTTGAAGCTTGGATAGATGAGAGAGTATAATCACTTCTCAGGGGAACAGTGGATTAGAAGGAATTCAGTTTTAAGAAACACATCATAATGGCTGTGGGGGTTTTACTGGTTATCCAGTGCATGAGGGCAGCCATCTGTTGGCCTGTCTTTTGTTCTTGTTGGTTGAGACAGGGTCTCACTGCATAGCCTTGGCAGTCCTGGAACGGTACGTCCTTTGTCTTCTGAAGCAGCACCCGGCTCTGCTTCTTTCTGGTCCTTGATCAGAGGCTGTGGGGGAACTGTCCGTGGTGTCTGTCTGTCACCTTCCGTGGCATCCATCTGTCAGCTAGTACCAAAGCGCATGCTCAGACATGTGGGAGCTAGGAATGCCGTGCCCATCCTTCACCCTCTTCTTCCCCCTCTGAGAAGTTTCTCTAGGAAGTGTGGAGGCCCACGGAAGTTCTTTGGGGGATCATATTGAATGAAGAAGAACTATCAGCTTCTCTGTGTGGATGCCTGGCTCTGCATACTCCTGCCAGGCCTGTCCTCTGGGTCCTGCAGACCGCTGGTGCGGGCCATCTCATTCTCCTACCTGCCTGAGGGAATTTCTGTTTGAATAGCTCTCCCCTGGGAACCTGTTTTATGCAGCTTCTCTTCTCACTATTTCTTTGGAAAATTCCCAAGGTTCTTGTTCATGAGGGGAAGTAGATTCCCAGGTACCCCCCCCTTTGCCTGCCCCTTCCCCTCCTACCCCCCTTGCCTACCCCTTTCCCCTACCACCCCCTCTTACCTACCTCTTTCCCCTCCTACCCCCTTTGTTTACCCCTTTCCCTCCCCCTCCCCCCTTGCCTACCCTTTCCCCTCCCCCTTCCCCCCCTGCCCTTCTACTGCCCTTTTCCTTTTCTGGCTTCCTGCTCCTTTGGTTTCCTTGACTATGGAACCAACTAAAGGGTTAATGCTCACTCTGACTTTTTACCTGAAGTTTTTATCACACTCTCAGTGGTAATAATAAGAATTTAAAAGAAAATGCTCAAATTTTGATAATATTTATTGTAAAAGAAAAAGATATTTTAAATGTTTAACACAGAGACCACAATCTTTTATTTTTACTAAGCAAGATGCTTCTTACATACAGCGTTAAGTTTTACCCACAGCGCCATCTACCTTCATTTCCCAGACAGTCTTCTTCTAGACAGTATTTTCAAAGGGGATCTGAGTATGATAGGTATGTCAGCTGAGAATGTGTTAAGACAGTACTGTGATCACCCAGAGGCTGTGCTCACCTCCGCTGGCCTTCGCTCCCACAGCAGACCCACAGCGTGCCTGTGCTGTTCCCTGACTCTGGAAACTCCCTGAAGCGAGACCACCTGGGCAGCTGGTCTTTAGCCCACACAGTTTTGTCTCTTAAAAATCCTATATGCCTGCCGCGGTGGCGCAAGCCTTTAATCCCAGCACTTGAGAAGCAGAAGCAGGTAGATCTCTGTGAGTTCAAGGCCAGCCACTACATAATGAGTTCAGGACAGTCAGAGCTATGTAGAGAGAGACCCTGTCTCAAAAAGAAAAACAAAATCCTGTAGACACAAGGAAATGTCATGGGATTTAAGGAGAGGAAGCCACCATCTGCTTCTCATCGTTTCTCAAGGCTTCTTTCTCCTCTGACAGTCACAATAGTCTTTTCGATTGTTCTTTCCCTCGGTTAGAGAAAATGGGCAGAGTTCCTCGGGGTTAACTGTTTCCCACGGGTAAGCCACGTGGGAGACGGCTGCTGCTCTCCGGGCCCACGCCATCCTCCCCGTCCGCAGCAGTGGCAGACCCCGCTGTGTCCACTGACTGTTGCCATTTGCTAGTGCATACTGATTGGCGCCTGTGGTCCTAGTGGGTGTGCATGTGCTCACATTGGTGGCACAGAGAAAGTTCTGTCGTGCTCCCTAGAGAGTGGCTTTTCACTTCCTCCCCTTTCTCCACCCTCCTCCCGCCCTGCTCTGTCCCTCTCAGCCTTCCACGCCTCACTTCCATGGCTCTGCCTTGCAGCAGCCCTCTCAGGGCTGGTAGACCTCTGGACGGATCTTCATCTCCACCCGTTTGAGGGAGTAGTTGGCTCCGTGCCAGCCGTACCAGCTGATGCCATCCATGTGCTTCCTGTGCTCCCCCTGGCGGTAGTACACCCCATTGAGGTTGGAGTCTGTGCAGCAGTTGTACCAGTAGCCACCTGGCGTGAGAAACAGGGCAGGCTAGTAGGCTAGACTGTGTGTGTGTGTGTGTGTGTGTGGCTGATGGCGTCAAAGCTGGCGGGCAGCAGCGGGAGCACCGCAGCCGGAGCACTCCCCCAGAGCGCTGCAGCACTTGCTTGTTCTCAGTGAGACGGGGTCCCAAGCTTTGTTTATTTGCCCCTGTGCCTCCCAGATCTCACCTTTGCGGAGCTGTGCACACTTGTCTAAGCAGTTGTCATTGTCCTTGTCCTTGGTGCTGAAGACCGTGTTGTTATGGTAGAGGAGGGCATCCTTCCCCACATTGCCGCTGTAGTTCCCCAGGAAGAGGCGGTAGCTGTTCAGCTCATTGGCCAATGCAAAGTGGCTGTACTCTGCGTAGCGTGCATTGCCCTCCCAGTCCTGGCAAGGAGGAGCAGAGCCTTAGGGAAACTATAAAGGATTTCATTTCCGCGGACCCTGAACCCTTCTCTCTCACTAGCCCCACAGCCAAACGTCCCTTCAGTGGCGGGGCTCTGACAGGACTGTTATCGATCACCATGTTACCTGGAAGCTAGTAAACAAAGGTCTGAGACTTGGGTCTGGACTAACCGTATAACCTGGACTGTTCTTTCTGTACCCCTTCATGTCTGGCTGATTTTTGTTAAATCTCACGCTGAGATGCTGTAGGAGAAAGTGGGAACATTGTACTTGAAGCCTTCTAGAGGGCCGTCACCCCCAGCATCACTGATATTTGCACTTAGAAAGATCCCAGAGCAGAGGCAATCGTGTTTCTGCCCCTCTAACTCTGGGTTTACCCCTGGTTTGGCTTGTCCTTCCCAGGTCTGGGTCAGCTAGAGAGATAGAAAGAAAGAAAGAAAAAACTCCCTCAACTGTACTGGACCTTCAGGGAAATTGCCACAGTGACTGTACAAGCCTAATGTGTACTGTACAAGACTATAGTGATGCTCCCAAACCATGCATAGTCATGTGCAGAGGGCCTGGACCAGTCAGGGGCTCACAGCTTGAACTTACCTCCAGCTCTACACGGAGCCGTGTTGGCTGTCTGGTAAGCCGGTGGATATGTTCATTCCCTAGCCAGAAGTCCCCTCGGATGCTGCCGAAGCCCTGCTTATACTGTCTCCAGTCTTGGTAGAAGGAGACAAGGCCACTCTTCCGTCTCTGGATGACAGTCCAGCCCCCGCCTGAAGTTTCCATGTCACAGAACACCTGAAGCACAGAGGACCCTCTTGGCAGGGGAAGAGCTGGAAGACAGACTCCCCAGCCTGTGGCCTGTGCCTCAGGGTCAGCGGCCCATGTACTCTCTGAACACTGCCGCTAGTGTGGAGGGGCTGGGCCACAGTGATGCTTAGCTTGGGGATGTATTGGGGGGGGGGTGTCAGGTGAGCACAACCTAAATGGAAGAATTAGGAACTTGAGTGAGTGTGCCTCCTTCTAATGCCTCCTTTCCTCTCCTGAGGAGCAGTTGCTCTAGGACGTTGCCAGAAATGTGAACTAGTCATGTGTCGGTGAGTTGACATTTGACTGGTGATTTGAAAGGAAGTAGCTGACCGGAGTGTGGAGGGAGGAATCCCATAAATTGGGCATTCTCATATCTCCAGCACACGGTACGTTTGCTTCTCTGAATTCCCCTCTCTGTAGAACAGAGCAAGCCCTGATGTCTCGGTGTAGTTTAGGGCTGGAGGACAAAAGATGGGACATGGCAGTAGTGACCTCACCTCCAGCTCAGGGCTGCCCAGGAACTCATCGGGAGGGAGCTTGTATACTCCAGAGATGCGGTAGTTCTTCTGGTAGAGGGAGTAGCAGTCATAGATGGCGTCTGTGAGGGGACAGAGTGAGCAGAGATTTGAGCCCCAGGGGTGGGAGGGAGTGCGTGCCTGCTGGTCTGAACCCATTAAAAACCATGGGGTGCCCGTGGGTAGCAGAGGGCACCAGGATCCTGGGGGCATGGTTGGGCTTCTTGGTTAGGAGGCATTAGAGTAGGGAAGCCCTTCACCTGTGCCGAGGGGCATTAACCAGGAAGTTCCAGGTTAAGTGTAAATAAGGCACCCTGCTCTAGCACCAGGCTGGACACCGGAAATGGTGTGGCGTGTGGAGGCCGCGTGGCAGCTACCCTGTGAGTAGCTTCAGGCTCCTCTGGGGCTCAGTCCTGGGTAAAATGGTTTGCTTTGTTGCTGTTTCTTGGTTGGTTTTGGTTTGTGGTTTCTCTGGTAGTAGCTACTGTGAGCTGGTGCTCTAATTAGGGAGACAGATCTGAAGCCTTGTCCCCTCCCCAATCTCACATTGCTAGATATTCAAATGAAAGCCAGAACCCTAAGGATCCTGTTGGGACCATTCCCTGCAAGTTTTGATAAAACAAGGAAATGAGCCTTTCCCATTTCCCCTCGGGCTTGATTTAAAAGCTGCCATGGCTGCCTTGAGGCTGGTGCTCAGTGCTGGGTTTTGTCTCCTTGTTCTGAACAGCAGAGTGACTTCAAAGAAGCAGCTGCTTCTGGAGAGTGTTGCTGTTGAAGGGCACTTCCTGGCCTGTCTTGGGACTTCTTCCTTGGTGCCCACTGGCACAGAGCATGTTGGGAAAGGGGAAGTGAGGTACACCTGCCCTTCCTCCCGGTAGGAAGAAGTGGTAGAGTCAGCTCTGCATCTGGCCTGGTCTTCTGCATGGCCAGTTTCATCTCACAGGCAAATTGTAGACTCACTTGTCTGATAAATGAGAACACCTGCCTCTTGGTTCCCAAACCGAGGATCCCGAGGTCTATGCTTTGAAAGCAGTTTGTATGCTTGTTTAACTAGCTAACAGACTTTTCAGGGTTAACTTCGGGTAAAACTTATTCTTTGTCTAAATCAAGGGTAACCAGGGTCTTACTCACTGGAGACTAATCCTGCCTTCCTGACTTGGTTTACAGTGAGTGCAGCCAGCTTTAGTGAGAGATGCTTCACCTGTAGAATATACCCATTCCGAGTGTTTTCCAGTAACTTGAGACAAGTAGATTTACCTCTGAGCAGCAAATTCATCTGTTGGCCTGTCTGCCAAGCTAGCCAACAACTGAGCATTGTTTTCCTGAAGAACGTGCCTTATTTTCAGCCATTAAAGACTGAAGCATTTCAACATTACATTTACTTATTTTCTTTATTATTTGGGAGGGTTTTATTAGCAAACGGGAGAAAATAGATTAGGACTGTAGAATATTGAGTCGTCTGTCCTTTCTTGAGCACAAAGGTTTCCTTCAAATGGCTGCAGGCTGTGTCTGCACCTGTGAAATGAGCTAGCTGGCATTTGCACCCACCCACACTAAGATCTAGGGACACCCCAAAACCGTATGGGGTGAAACTTTGCGTCTAAAGCAGCAGCTGTTAGAGTCAATTGCTCGTCCCTGCTCCTGACAGCCTGCCAGCTCTCCGGAAGGAAGTATGGCAGGGCCACACCAACCTTGTGTGACTTCGGGCAGGCTTCAGGCTACAGACTTCTAATTTGCTGAAATTTTGTGTGATTCAGAGAGACTGGAGCCAGGCATGATGTTTCATGCCTGCAGTTCCAGTGCTTGGGAGGCTAAGGCAGTAGGATCCAGAGTCCAGGGCCAGCCTAGGCTACACAGTGAGTGAAGCCAGCCAGGGCTATGCGAGGCTTTGTCTCAAAGAGGGAATGGTAGGTCCTGGCTAACCCCCAGGGGTCATCCAGGAGATGCTCAGCTGGGACAGGTGTGACGCACAAGGACAGCACTTACCTGCCGAGGTCTGTGTGACAGTCTGTGCCGCCTGTAACTGCATGATGTCGATCTGGTTGTTCATCTCCGAGTACTTGCTCTCGGCCACTGTGAGCCGGGACTCCATGCGCTTGCTGCTGCTCTCCAGCTCCATCACCTGCATGACCACGCTCACCCAGTCGCTCTCCTGCTTCTTGCTCAGTTCACCCAGGAGGCTGCTGAGGTTGGCAACCTGGGCTTTGAGCTCCCGCATCTCCTCACAGCACGAGGCTGCTTTGAGCTGTGCAGGTGTCTTGCGCTTAGGCGGCTTCTGCAGCCACACGGGGTGGCTGACAAAGGCCACCAGGATAATGCATAGCCAGGCCTTCCTCAGCATTGTCTGCAGGCCTGTTGGAGAAGTCTCTCGAGAGCTAGAGTCTGGGAAGCTTACTCTTTGACTCACACTGCCTTCCTGGTGGTCTCCTTCCTCTGCGCTCTCTTAGCCTTTCTCAAAGCTAGCGTTTCTAGACAGGAACTCAGTGGGTATTGGAACACTTTCCTTCCCAAGTCTGAGTGCCCCACCAAGGCAGCATCTTAAATATTGTTGGTGCCGGTACCTCCACCCTACTACCATGGCTGTGTGCTAAAGCCCCTCCCACCTCATCTGGGAAGGTCAGGTGCCTGTTGAGTGAAGTCAGCTCAAACTTAGGCCAGAGGAGAGGAGGAGGGGGACGGGCCAGTGTTTGTTTCCTTGTCTGTACAGTCTCTGGGCTCAGACGGGAGGCTGTGAATTTGTTTCCAGTTGCGCCTATTAGATTATACCCCTGCCAGCCTCTGGCTCAGCTGTATCAGCAGACGGGCAGTACATGAGTTTCCAAACTCCCGTCTGAAGGTTATGTAACACAGACTGGGGGTGGGGTGGTGACAAGGAGTCAGGATGGAGACTGCTGAGCTAGGGGCCCTGCTAAGGTGATCTGTGCTGTTTACTTGTGGTTCTGGTTTATTCGGACATCCTGACGAGTGTGGGCAAAGATGAGTTTTAACTGGGCTGGACATGTCTTTTTCTGGTCATCATTCAGGGTTTTACAGAATCCTGTTGAAACTGGTTAGTAGTTTGTGTCTGTGAACTACCTTCCCTTTTTACACACCTTCCTTCCATTTTACAAGGAGGTGTCACAAGCTTTTAGGACAGAGAGGAAGACTCAGCCATGCCAGGTATGGCTCTGGCATTGGTCACCGGCACCATCTGTGTCTGGTCAGCAGTGAAGAGCCCCAACTTTTGCCCAGACTTCAAACTCAGAGAAAAGTCTCCCGTCACCACGGCAGTCTGGATCAGGAGTCTGGGTTCCCTCTCCATGCAGTGTGGTTAGTTAGGGTTGTTAGTCCCCCTGTACCCACCTAGGACTTTGCCTGAGAAACAGGATTCTACTTGAAGTGCTCTTCTGAAGTCATGTAAAGTCATGGAACTTCTCACTGAAACTATATACACAGGTCCCTCTGTCCTTACTTACCAAGAGCTCTGTCTTTGGAACGTATGCTTGCTGTTTCTGCGTTGGGAAGCCACTGAGGTAGTCACATGACGTACCACTCAGCTTGAGTCCCACATACAAACCTGACATTGCACAGAGGCAAGTGGGTCTGTGAGTTCGAGGGCAGCCTGGTCTACAAAGCAAGTTCCAGGACATCAGGGCTGCACAGAGAAACCCTGCCTCCAAAATAAAATAAAACAAACAAAAGACAACCCAGAAGGGATAGAAAATCCAGCGGTATTTGCATTGTATACTCTTTATGTATGCCGGATCCAGTGGGTATGAAGACCTGCCCGCCTAGAGGAGCGTGTGAGCAGACTTCGAGTTCATGAAGATGTGCAAGGCTCTGCCATCTCGTGAGTCAGCTCAGAAACTCACATTCGAACCACAGAAACATGTCCCTGCACACCAGCCAGAAGGACGAGGAGAGGAGGAGCTGAAAGGGCCAAAGTTTTCACGTACTCCTGAGAGAGCTGAACAGTGAAGCCAGCATGACGTCTTGCGGAGCTGAACATAGCCTGTGACCTAACAGTTCCAGCTGTTTTCTCAATAGCGGTGCAAGCGCGCATGCTCTGAAAGACAATTCAGAAGTGTTCCTGGAAAGACCACGCCCAGTAACCAAGCTGCTGAAATCAGTCCATCACATAGGCAAACTGTAGTGTCTCTCTCACAGTGGAATCACTGCTCCACAAGAGGTCCACTACGGCACCAAACAAGGTTGAGTGTTCACATAAGTTCAAAAACGGACAAGCAAAGGCCTGGGGAGATGGCAAAGGACCGAGGTTTGATTCCCAGCACCTGTGTGGTGGCTCACAACTTCCAGTGCCTTCCTGTGACTTCTGCAGGCACATGCATGTGGTGCGCAGACATTTATGCAGGCAAATCACTCATGCATGTAAAACAAAAACCAGCAACAAACACCTACAAGCCGAGTGTTAGAAGTCAGTGACAGTCACCACGGGAACAGGATGGGGTAGGAGGTGGCTAAAAGCTGCAGTGCACTGCCCTGTACTTTCTTGGTCTATCGGAAGTCCCAAATGTGTCTTTCCTCTTAAAATCATCTATCTGCGTGCTTAGGGACATTCTTTCCAACATACTTCCTTCTAGAAATTTGTTTAAAAATAGATGATGCATAAATTATGAGGACGAGTAGGTGATCGAGGCATAGTAAATGTCAAGTACTTCACATCGTTTGGAAAGCCTCTACTGTCTCTCCTGACGTCGGGGCTGAAATCTGTTCTTTTCCAGTTGCTTTATTTTCCTATTGTTCCCATTACATGGCATTTGCTTCCATTAGTCCTTTTTGTATCTGCTTTTGGCACTAACACGTAAGCTCCATGAGAGACAGGCCTTGTCCATCTGTCTGCACACTGTGGTAGCTGCATCTGGCATTCACCACGAAGCCCAGAAGGAATACCGTACTGGATCTGTCAGATGGAGATGGGATTCCAAGGGGAATATGGGAATATGGAAGCTGTGGGGCTTCCAGTCTCTCTCTGACATCTGTCTCAGAAACAGTGACATGTAACAGCGGTGACGCGGCTGGTGTCTCAGTTCTTTAGAACGTTTACAGCCTGTGTGTCCTGCTGTCCAGTTGGTGTATCGCCTCTCCCCAGCTCCCTCCTTGTCGCATAGACATCAGCAGGGATGGAACAGAGTGTAGGCCAGCCCATACTGCTTTTATAGAAGGCGTATCTAGAAGCTGCCCATTTGTGTTTCTCACTGCATCCATGTGCTAGAGTGCCAGATCTTGGCCACCCAGAGACCAGGAGCAGACTTCACCCAGGATACCCACTGTGCTTTGCATCCGAGTAGAACAAACTGGGTTCTGTGAGCCCTCCCCAGCCTCCTCATCTCCCTCATAGTCTCTCCCTGAGGTCTTCCCTTCCCTCTGGATGTGAAGATGCAGGAAAAGGGAGAAACCCTCCGGGGTGGGGTGGGGGGGAGCAGTGTGCACTGTGGCAGAACAAAAAGATAACAGCCAATTTGTCAAAAAGCACTGACAAAAAAGATAAAGTTAGAAATAATTAACTGGCTGACATACTGGGAGCAGTGTGCCTGCCAGTAACTCCCTAAATCAGCCTGAGCCTTGAGATGCAACAGCCATTCATCGGTTTTACAGCACGCCTCTGACAGGCTCCTCAGATGGAAACCTGGCCCTCACAGACCGTGGGCTTTGACACTGAACCAACCTGTGCCACGTGCTGGCTTGCATTAGGTTCGAGGTCCACATCCATCCAGGAGATGCCTGCAGTCAATATGTACCCAGTCTGTCGCCAGGCAGTCTTGGCCTCTAGGGACAATTTCCAGAGGGGCACATGAACTTGTAAGCGAATGCACAGCTTTCCTAGCGGCCTGGACCCACCGGGTACCACTGTCAGCCAGCTGGATTCTCTTGGTGACGCTTTGCTGGCATAGCTTTGGAAAGAATTATGAGGCCAGTGTGGTAGCCCACACCTGAACTCCCAGCGTTGCAGAGGCTGGGACAGGAGCGTAGTAAGTTCATAGCTGTATAGTGAGACCATGTCAAAACTCACAAAACAAACAAGGAAGTACGAATTATCCTAGGAAAGTGGAAAATGCCTGTGTTATGTGCAAAAGCAGAATGCAGGAGCATGTGCTTGGGCATCAATGTATAAAATCTGTCTAACCAATATGCACAGGTGGGATTATTTTAAACTAAAATTATATTGTAATAAACTTCCCAATTTGGGGCAGGGAACCCAGAGATACAGCTCCGTGGACTAGCACTTTCCTAGCACACATGTGAGGTCCTGGGTTCAATCACCAGCACCTTGTGCCACCAAAAAACATGTGTTTGCCTCTCTGTGTTTCCTTTCTCCAGTAAGTTACAGGTGTGGTAGCTTGTGCCTGCGTTCCCAGCTCTCTGGCTTGCACAGGAAGAGCACTGCAAGCTCAAGGGCCAGCCTAGGCTACAGAGAAAGACTGTCTCAGAAAACCAAAAAAAAAAAAAAAAAAAAAAAAAAAAACAAAAGAATAAAATGAGCAAATAAAAACTTTTTAGAAGATATCCTCACTCAACAATTTCTAAAAGGTGAGGGTTCTCTATCTCTCTTCCAGACCTAGCCACCTGTTACCATTCACCCTTCCCAGTCTTGAGGAGAGCGCACTCTGTCGGCACGTGTGTGCAGTAGTGCACGTGTAGGAGTTGAGGACTCAGGTCATCTGGCTCGGTGACAAGTGTCGTTGCTCACGGTGTCTTCTCGCCTTTTTCAGGGGGTTAGTTCTAAGACCTTACAGTTTCCCGCCATATTCCTTCCTCTGCATTTGAATAACCCCGCTTCGGCCACTTCGGCCCCTTTCTGTCAAGTTCCTGGTGTCCCTTTGCTTCCCGTCTTCACTGCTGTCCTTCCATCTTGAAGTTAACAATCCATTCCAAAAGAGACTGTTGTTGGGGCCCCTGAACAGATCATTCTCTTGTTCCAAGACTCTTGAGCTGCCTGATGGAGACGGCAGGGCGTAGCCAACCCTTTGATCCCGGCTCTGTGGGGGCATCAGACAGTTGTGTTCAGAGCTGGGAGACGTTGCGGGGCAGCTGAAGCAGTTCTGCTCTGAAAACAGCTCTGTGATGCTGTGCTCGGGGTCCTAAGCGGTGTTGTGCACCATCCATTGTGGCTGCTCCAGACACCCCGTTCCAACCACCTCCTGCCAGCTGCGGTGCATGTGTCACCGTCCCAGTGCCAAGGGAATGCAGAGAATTCTCCTTTGACAGGGAACCAAGTAAAAGGCAGACAGCAGTCTGCACTAGAAGGAAGGCCCGGGGCCAGTGGGAGCCAGCAGTACCGGTCTCATAAATTCCTGATGGAGCATCAGGGAAGCCCGGGCATTGCAGATGGAGCACAGATGCTCCTGGTCAGTCTAGGCACCCGCCCCTCCAGCCTTGGTGTGGGAGCTCTCCCTTCCCTCCACCCTTAACCGCCCTAGGTCACAAAGGCTCTGAGGCTAAGAGAAGAGAGAAATAGAGTGATGCAAAGGGCCACAAAGGAAG